GCAAGAAATCGACTACAAAAGGCTTTGTTTACTAAAGCTGGTTCGTTTTTTTGAAATGTTGATTAAGAAATAGAGGGGAAAATCGAACAATTTCGTATTGGTCTTTATTCGTCAAACTTGAGCATTTTGCATATTATGGTAAAAGTATCACCAAATAAATTGCTCTGTTTGTTCAGCAGAGAAAGCACTCATTTTAAATTGTGCCCTGATTCATAACCCGGAGGTCTTAAACTCTTTATTATGGTAATGGAAATAGCCAGAAATAGCAAAAACAGGCAGATGACAGAGTGGGGAAATGAATCACTTCTTCAAGCTAATTCAGTGTGGAGGTACCAATGTCGCTTAATACGCGCGAGTGTTCGACCTTAAACCATTGGTACCAGATAATAATCTAACGTTGCTGCTGGGATAATACGGGAAAGTGAAGTGCGTCATCCGAGTGAAATTCTATGCGGAGTTGTGCGCAACACGTACACAGGTGTGCGAGGTGTATACATAGATGTGAATGAGAGGATTCCCTCCTCACTGCATTTCCTCAATTGGAGTATATTTTATGACGAAAATAAGGATGAATGCTGCCTTTCTCATATGGAGGGGCACCGGATGAATTGCTGCCACCAGGACGAGAAAAAGCAGCAGCAGTACGTGCGCTGATGTAGTGAGCAAAACGTGGTCAAAATGGACGTGACGACCCTGATGATCGAGGTGAGTAAGGGAGATCTTGTTTTCCGTGCTGAGCACCAATGCTACCGACGCCAGGGAGACAGCTCCCACACCTGGACTCCACGTATCGACCCATCAGCTCTTGAACCGGGGACCAACGGCTTTACTTCCCTTCCGAAGAAGGCGTGATCAGAGATGTTATGCCTCAAAACATCCTGGCGGCGCCGACTGGGATTGAACCCAGGCCTGCTGGGGTGAGAGATAATCAAGCTTACCACTACACCACCGGCGCCGCTATATTCACTTCTTTCAGTGTACTAAACTGATAAAATTTTAAAGATTGTTTCTATGTGTCCCACACATGAATTTTTGCAATGTGATCAACAAATGATATCTATGACACATATATAGCCGACACGGACCGATACTTAATATGTGTACACATTAAAGCCATGTGTAACCACACATACTATTCATTTGACTCATAAATTTCATGTATATTCCTGGGTGGATTCTGTTTATGTGTGGTCACATGAAAATCATGTGGAATTTGTCATGGAAATTCGTCAATAAAAAAATGTGTGGAATTCTATATATAATCGAATTAGCGTAATAAGCACACTCAAATTTAGTGAAGTTTACTGGACCATTAATAATTTAAAAATGTAGCTGAATAGTTAATCCGCTAACTTAAGTTTAGCTTCGCTATTTAACGATTAGCGAATTAGTGAAAATGAGCCTACCGCTGATTACAACATAGCTTATATGATGTGATGTCAACTATATCCTGAACATATAATTTGAACTTCAAGCTATTGATCTATACATTTCAACCAAAATCCCATTTTAAATTTAAACTAAATATACCAGCTCGTTTTACAATCATCGCTGTACATTTTGGAAGCTTAAAAATGCACTCCATTTCCCTTAGAGATGAACCAGCCTAAGGCTAAAAGTCTCGTTAATAAAGAGAAAAAAAAAGAACTCAATTTTTTTATGTTTTCTTAAATGCAACGTGTCAACCCATCATTTCAATGACGCATAGTTAGCCTATCAGTGCGAAACGAAAATGAAAAAGAGGCACGCTTAGAACGGTTGTGGATTTTCTCGTCTCACCCCTTTCAATGAATGTTATGTCGATTTTCGAGTTGAAATGCAGCCTAATTTAGGCCGTTCGCAATGCTGTTGTATTTTACAAGGACTGTTTCAATTTGAAACTAGAACAGAAACGCACCTCTCGCAGTGCTGAGTTGCAGTTTCATTTTTCGAGCACTATTTTGCACCAGATTTGCAACTGCTCGACTATTCTGTTTTATTTCTGAGCGAGTTTGGAACACGAATGGAACTCTGTTTCAAATTTCTTTGGATGTGTTAGAGATGTTTCGAGAGCTTCACAAATAAAAACGGAGAATTTCATAGAGAACAGTAAAGTTTATGGAACTTGATGATTACAAACATCTTTTAGAACTGTGCGTTGCGCTGATCGTGTTGCAGTTTTATTTTTGACAGTTTCAAATTATAGAATTGACGAGTAGTTAAAAACAATTTTGTAACTCAGCATTGCGAACGGCCTTAGGCAATCAATTTGCCATCTCATTCGAGCAGTTGAAAATTACGTTTCTTACCACTCGAACTTGAAAGTAAAACAAGTGGTGCAAAATAGTAATTTGTTGGTCCTGTTTTGTGAATAGTGGTAGAAATTCACACTGAAACTGCTTGAAGAAGTGGTTCGTTTCCCCTCTCTGTCATCTGCCCTTTCAATTAGTCTAATATACGTTATGTCCCGTATTCGTAACTTTTTGTAGGTAATTTTGTGGATGGACGATAAATTAAACACATTACTTGTAATCTTGGGCCTCCCTTTGATCAGTCGACAACGTGCAGTTACAAAGCAAAACCATGCTGATGGCTGGGTTCGATTCCCGGTCCGAGCTAGGCATTTTTCAGGTTGGATAATTTTTCGACTTCCCTGGGCATAGAGTATGATTGTACTTGCCACGCAATTACTAATGCAAAAATGACACATGTTTCCACGTGAGAAATGCTTTAAAATAAATTTTCATTTTTCATTATTTACGTCTTGAAACATCGGTTGATGAGCTTCATGAAAGACGAACAGATCAAATTCAAGTGCTCTTTCACACGTCCGCTTCACTGAAGCTTGAAAAATCACGAATGAAGCGACGGGAGAATGAGAGAAAAACGATTGAAAATGTGTTTATAGACGCCGACTGATGTGCTAAAATGCTGCGAAGCTGCTCGACTTCAACAGAAAAAGAAAGCTAGCAGTCTCTTCGTCACATCGATTTTGTCTATTGAAGCTGATATTGTTTCAACCAATTAATGTTTATTTGATTTTGGTTATCTCACCCAAATTAGGCCCGCTGATAAAGTTGAAACATTTCCTCCCATAGATATTTGGACCAGCATACGATTCAGAAACAATTATGCTCTGCGATGCCAGCCTTAGTGCCATTGTTTATTGAAGGAATTAATGTGAATTAATGTGAGGAATTAATTGTTTAATTAATTTACCGTTTTGTTAGTTAGCATCAACACCAGGAAGCATTATGTTTTGTTTGGATTTATATTTATGAGGTTTCAATGTTTTATGTATCAAAAAGTCAGTTCATGGAGATAGTTTTGTGAATATTTGCTTTGAATGTGCGAACTTAGAATATCAATGAAAAGTGTTAGTTTCTCCGAATTATTTTAATGATTCACATTGCAAATCAATTTAATTACACTGTCTTTTTACGGTAAACTCATTCGTGTTTTCAGCTCTGACATCGTGAAGTATGTTCATTATGTTTGTGATGCATTTTGTAATAGTATAAAATAAACGGAGTTTCAAAGTGCAATATTTCCCAAATGGTTCCGGGTACCTTCAATAACATAACTACTTAATCGTGCTAAACATACAACATACTACAAAACTATTACTATTGAACATCATGTGTATATTAGCGACAATCAAAATAACGTAAACTTTTGGTTATCTTTTGGCTACGCTAAATAAACCTCACCTGTAATTTGGATAAATTGGTAGAATGGACGTAGTCAATATATTTTGAAAATGTATCTAAATCCTTGCAGTAATGAGTTCAATTTGAACTTTAAAATTTTTAAAAAGGTCTAGGACTATATCAGTCAGCGAACGTTTAGTGTATTGGTTTTGAAGTTTTATTTGAAGTAGACATTTATCTCAATTTAAAAAAAAATGGAAATTGCTGGTTTCCCGGCAAAGTTCCCAAAATTTACAATTTATGCTTTTCAATTGCAGAAAAAAATATCTTTGTGAGGGTTCACATTTCTGTAAAATCTGTTATGGTTTCTATGTTATTTAGTCATACGGATGATTTACCATTCAAATACAAATTCTTGACATAAGCAAATAAAATTCAACTTGTTAAAGTGGGCGTTGATGGGTTGAAGTTCAGGTCGAAAATAAAACAAAAACAGGCTGTATTTGAAGTTAAAATTTATCCCACTTTAATAAAAAAAACAATGGGTTTTGCTGGTTTCCAGGGTAGGTTCCTTTCATTTCTAATTTATGATCTTCAAAAGCAAAATACAAAATTCGTGCGGAAATTTTGCAAACAACTTTGTTTTTAAATATTTGTTCGAAATAACACTAACCGTGTCAATGTGTAAGTTTGATTATTAAATTTGTATTCGTGATTGAAAGTGTTGCCAAATATTATGAAAATTTCTATTATAAAAATACTAATACTTCGACTACTGATTGATAGAACTGCGAATCTCCTCGTATAAGTTTCATCTAAATATCTAAGGATGTGAATATTGTCTCTATGGTGATCTCGAGAGGAGGTTATATTTCACACTATTGTTGGTTTTGATTTCTATTTTATAATCCCGATCCGAAACACCATTGTTATGTTTGTGCTTTATATTTTCGTCTACGTTACCTTAAGTTAAACTTATTGGGGTTTCAAATATAGTTTAAAACAAAGTTTGAATTAACATAGTTCGTTTTATTAAATCTTTAATTATTGATAATTTAATCATTGATTTGAATTTTTGAAATAAGACCACTCAAATATGTAAAAACTTTTAAGTAGGTCGTGCTGTTGAAACAGTTGATATTCAATACTATAAATTCCATAGAGCTGAAATAAATACTCCATGTTTTAATCTCATTGAGGTTATTGTCAGCCTGTTGTACATTTTTGAGCTAACTTATGTTCGTTGACATTTAATACTTGTGACATTTGATCGTTATGACACAAAAGTGTAAATATACAAGTCAAAAACCTCGATCATTGAATCTCAAATGATCAGTATAACAATGTTAACTACAATATATGGATAGTTACGAGAAACATGGTCTTTCAGCACAAGTAACTCCTGGTTTGCAGTTTATGCCGTCACCAATGTAACCTCGAGGGCAATGTCCACATCTCATTCCGTTCTGTGTATCATAGCAATGTACACCTAGAAATTAAATATGGTAATACGATAAAATATGGTCGATGATATTATGTTACCACTACGGCTTACCTGGAAAGCATGGATTATTGTTCTGACAACTTTCTCGCAATTGCTCTGGTGCCTTTTGGCACCCTGCACAATTTTCAATCAAACTTCTGAGTTGTTGTATCTCGTCCCGTTGTCTTCTTACATCTTCACGCAATTCTCTGACCATCGTAATTAGCTCATTTAGTGATCTTGCGAGATTTTCTGTAAAATAGTCATACGCTTCAATTAATTCATTTTATCATGGATCTAAACTGATACTAACCATCACAATCTCCATGTAAGATCGGGATATCACCTCTAGTATTGGTATTTCTGAGTTCAAATCTTTCCTCGCGATATTTGTCGTTCCCTCGATACCAATTACGAACATCTCGTTTCTTGTTTCTTTCGTAGGATGTTCCGTCCTCAACTGAAATTAAATCATTAATTTGAAATATGGATTGTATTCTATAGTTTATCATTGCTATAGCTTATTTTTCCAATTTCAATATAATGAAGAATAGACGAACCAACCAAAAGTCTCGATAGTAAAAAAAAAATTAGACTACAATGCATTAAGGATTAAAAGCACACGTAGCTACGAATGCCCTACAAAACGCAGATAAAAATATATGTTTAAATGTTAGATACATTCATTAAATGTTGCTAACGCTGATATGTGTAGCTTTGATGATAACTGCTTATAATAAACAAAACGAACCATTTACATAAGACCCTGTGATAAAATCCAGGGATATTTTTTTTTCATTGCCCACACACTAAATACGACAAAATGTGCGTAAAATCTATTTGGTGCCTTGGGTGCACTTATTCCTTAGTTCATAACAGCAAGTTCGCAGAAGGCCTTAAGACGATACAACGTAAAAGATCTCTTTAATTATATTCTGCAGTTTTGAGCAAGGTTGCAAAGACTCATTTCAGCTAAAATAATGTTTTTCGGAATAATAAAACCAAAAGATGGTATGATGGCATGTTTTACTTGTAACTTACAAGAAGAGGTTACAAAGTATGCGTTGGAAACATAAAACCTGTAAATTTTGCTTTCTATGAGTCACAATCAGCGATTTGCTGATCGCTGAGTGAGTGAGTGAGTGAGTGAGTGAGTGAGTTTGGGAAAAATCGCTGATTGTGACTCTCATGAAGTGAAATAAACAGGTTTAATATGTCAAACACATTCTTTGCAACCTCTTCTTGTATCCTACCAATTCAAAATTTGATCATGGCATCTAATTATTTCATAATTTAGAAAAACATTGTTTTAGCTGAAATGAGTCTTTGCAACCTTGGTTTTGAGGAGTTCAGTTAGAAATGCAAAATACAATTCCTATATGCTGTGATTTTTTTCTTCAAATTTTTGGATATATAAACTATGGTTATTGTTGCAGTATATCAACTTTTTTTTTGCTGTCATTATATTTAGTCTCTCCGGTATTCCGGTAATTTGGTCTGAATAAAATTGTTTAGTTGTAGCGTAAACGAAAAATAGTTAATTATTATCTAACAGGTATGTCTGTGGACGCCGTGGCCCCCGTTGTTGCAATTTTTTCCATATTGGGTATTTTTTTGAATGTCATGCATCCACTCAAAAATGTCCATGTCATGTAACATTTTTCATGACACGCAACACTTTCCTTGTTACGCTACATTGTTCACACTATTTTGATTTTTACACTTCAGCTGATCTGTGATCGGTGGTCGTCGCTTCTGCATCTGGTTGTCTTGGTGCGTTACACACTGATGGTGGTAAGCTCCAACTCGGAAAAACTTAGAGCCGTTTTGATTTAATAAACGGGATTTAATCTGATGATAATACTGAGATTGACCATGAGATTGGGCTTTTATTACAATTAATATAGGGTAGCTGTACCAGTTATGGTGTGTTCCAATTATGGCATTTGGGAATTCCATAGGCCATAATTGGAATGCACCATAAAAAGAACGTATAGCTATGGTATGGCACATCTACCCTATCAAACAAATTATTAAAAGAAAATCTATCACATTAAAAAATAATATAAAATGTTATAAAAACCGTTTTAAAAATACTAAAAAATTGAAACAAAACTTAGTACCTATATATGTATTATTGGTTGAAGACGTTAAAGGCAGTTTGTTTTCCTTACCTTGTTCATAAACGGATTTTTTGTTCTTGAGGAGCTTTTCCGCCGAACCAGCTTTCTTAACATGTTTTCGTTTCAGAAGATTTTGACAACTTGTCCTAGAAAGAGCATTTTCAACAGATGAATCCAAATGAAGTGGATACTTGCGTTCTCTGAACTAGAAGAGGTAGATTTACTTTATTTTGTATGTCTTAATAAGGAATCAAGAAGAATCTTACTAATTTAACACTCGGATCGTCAAGGCTTAGGTACAGTTTTGATAAATCAATGTCTAAATCTAACTTAGCTCCTTCCTTACAGTCTATGTAGAGTACCAGTGAATTGTGGCTAAATAGTATAGCCAATGACCGAATAGTGGTTGTTTCATTCATTCCGGGAATCTCAAGGTACTTTGAATACAGCTTCGTATTTGAGTTTACATCAACGGTTACTACAAAAAATAAGGATAAATAGATAAAGCGTAACATTTTTAGTTGCTGTGACTTACCTTTTTTTCCTTTACGATCTAAATAAAAAGAAAATTTATTCTTTGCCGCAGGAAAATCAATCATAAACAGCGCCTCTATCGATAGGCGAAATTTTCTACGTGGTCTACAAAGTAAGATGAATACATTTATTATGCTATCGATTAAAAATCAACACTTTCAGAAATATAAAAAAGGTTATATCCTATGTAAATAGAAAAGTACTTAACCTACTAAATACATTATATAATTTAAACTACTTACCGAATATGCCTCAGTGAAATGATGAAGTCGTTCTTGATGTATTGTTCCAGTTCATTTGAAGCAACTTTGAAATGAATTATTACATTAAATGCTCCCCACAACAACAGTTATTCCAATTATTTATCTCACCTGGATCAAGCGATAATGATAAACCTTCATTTGAGAGCCACGCTATGCAAAATAAAAGCAATATTTTCCTCATTGTTCTCCAAGTACTGAAATTGAATTACAAAACAAAGGCACTATAAAATTGTATCAACAGAGAGTCAAATACATTAATATTACATAAGCTTTATTTCAACTCCCCCTTTGGAGAGGGATGGTGAGGAGTTCGGTAAAGAGAGTGCAATTCTATACTTTCATCTCCTCATCTATCTATAGAAATTACGACAGAAAGTCTGTTATGACTCAAATTTATGTCAAAATTGACGCTCGTTTACATGATTTTTTCTAAGTGTGTAGGAAATACGGCTGGAGTAGATAATGTTAATGCTAGAGTCATTTAAGATTGCTATCGTGCCATTCGACACACTCTGCTGGACCTTATTAATCAACATTGCAATCTGGGCACGTGCCAAAAATTTGGAAAGAATCTCTATAGTTGAAGATGCTAATTTTAAATAACAGACTAAAGTGGTAATTTTAATACGATAGATGAGGAGATGAAAGTATTGTATACCCCTCACCATCCCTATCCAACGGGAGAGTTTGGTAAAGAGAGATGATCAACCCGACTTGTACCTTTCTCAAAGTTGTCCTTGCTCGCTTCTACTCTCTATATACAATTTTTACACTGCCGTACTCTAACGGAACTATCAACTCTATACTTTCATCTCCTCATCTATCGTATGAAAATTACCACTTTAGTCTGTTATTTGAAATTAGCATTTTCAACTATGTAAATCGTTAACTTCACGCAGAAGTAATACAAACAAATAGTTAAAGAATCTTTAGTTGTTCCTATACAACATGTTGCTGGGACGATTAAAGTCGATGAGTTTCGTCCCATCAACATGGTGCATACATTAGAGATAATTTTAGAACTTGTTGTAAGAGGCCAGCTATTAGAATATTTGAATAGTAACTGTTTGTTGATACCGGAACAATCGGGTTACCGGGAAGGTCATTCTTGTGAAACCGTGTTAAACTTAGTGTTAGCTAAATGGAAAGAAAACTTGGAGCGTAAATATATGATTGTTACTGTGTTTTGGATCTAAAACGCGCTTTATAAACAATTGCTATGCCTTTATTGTTAAGAACAATCAAGGGCTTTGAAATTTCGGGTTCTGCACACAGTATCATCTGCAAAAAGATTATTGTTGCAAAATCGTAAAACACGTCTCATGTCATTAATATATATATATAATAAATAACAGGGGCCCTAATACACTTCCCTGGGGCACCCAAGGTTATTCCCAACGGGACTGGAAACAGAATCATTAAAAACAGTTCGTAGAGTTCTGTCAGACAAATAGCTTTCAAAACATTTATATGCAGTACTCGTAATTCCAAAGCGCTTGATTGATCTTAACAATAAAGGGCCTAGAAATTGTTTCAAAAGCACGTTTTAAATCCAAAAAAACAGCAACAAACGTATCCTTACACTCCACTTCGCTAATACCACATTCAAGAATCCCAAAATGCTCTCCACGTAGCTAATGAACAGCTCCTAATGACTTTTTTATATTCTTCTTCTTTTCTTCTTCTTCTAGGCTATTTACGCTTCTGTAGCGAGTGTTTTTTCGGCTTGAGTTCTAGATGCACTCCACAGTTATAAATTGGGAGCTTTCTACGCCAACCAACGCATGAATTTTAATAATGTTTGGCAAGTACAACCCGAGCAGGAACGAATATCTCGATACATTAAATTGGTATGGATGAACCTGACATAAGAAGTGAAATACCAAAAAATAAATGTACCACAATACCATTCCAATACCAAATTATGATAAAGCAATACCAAAGCAATATTCTTTTGGTTTCCAAGTATCAATTTTTGTTATTTGCAAAGTATTTTGCATGCAATTTTTTGGTATTATTCTTTGGTATTTTACCTTTTATGTCATGCTGATCAATACCAAATTTTGGTATCATGTCAGAATTAGGTATTCATTAGTTATTTTCTCCTGCTCGGGTAGGGAAGTCAAGAAAATTTCCAACCTGAAAGATTTCCTCGACAAGACCAGAAATCAAACCCGCTGCTCTTCATGCTTGGTAATACCGTGCCATTAACGCTCATTTACTGCAAAATTATGCTTCATTACATTTAAGAGCATTTATATTTTCTTGAAAAACAAAACTGAGTTAAGTTCATAAAGTTATGGAAAACTAAAGCATAAATATTGCATATAATGCTTAAAGCTAATTTTTTTTATTGAATCTTCGAATAAAACATGTGTTTTTGTTATTATAATCATTCTCTGAAGCTGAAATGCAGAAAAAATCAAACTCCTAAAGTAATCTGTAAAATACTCAAATATATATGAAAATATGCATACATTTAAGGTTTGCGTTATCAATTGGTAGAAGGTTGTCGCGACAGAACCTTCGTTACTTAAAAGTACTTGACCTTTGCTTCAAAGGTGCAAAAAATATGATAATTAATGAAAATAATGTTTCAACAAAGTTGTTTTCCTTGTTTGTTTTCATTCAACTTTGTTGATGCCATCATTTCTGTAGTTAGGGTGCAACTGTACTGCAACTATATGTACACCACTATTACTGGCACACCTACCCTATGTATTCATAGCAAAATGCTAGTTTAGCCATTTTATCATAGTAATTATGGGATTATGGAGACAATCCCACGGTCCCAACAATACATATTATGGAGAAAATTTTAGTTAAAAAAAAGTTACTGCTTTCTGCGACATCTTTTTAAGTTAACAAAAAAATAAGGCAACATTTAAAAAATGGGTTTTTTTTTTTCTTTTTGCGAGGTTTTATCTCTAATTCCCTACTTTCATATACATATCCTACTGGGGCAAAACGTTCGATGTCACAGCTTTTTCATGCTTAATGGGACTTTGTGTGCAGTGTAAATACAGACCTAGCAATGTTGATTGTCAAATTCATGAAATAAAAATGTGAAAGCAATGAAAAAGCGCATAGTGTATTTTGCCCCGGGATGCATTTTGGACTGTTTTTCCCTACTTCTCTGTGCAACGATAAATAGCTGGTAGCGAAAATTTATCAAAGTAATTCATTTTGACAGCTAACGATAACGTGTATAATTTTGAATGATCAGTTTCATTAACAGTTTATGCTATTTTTGAGAAACTGTGCTTATAGTTTATAGCTTATAACTTAGCTTATAATATAGCTTATAATATAGCTATATATAGCTATATTATATAATATATTATAATATAGCTTATAATATAGCTTATAACTGTGCTTATAGTGCTACCGATGCGCTGGCTTCAATTATGTTATTCCATTGGTCTTGATAGGTGTATGTGTTTAAATATTGGGTATTTGAATCTTTGTCGCAACTTCAATGGTTTTTTAAAACTGTTCGATTTTTTTTCAATTTGGTCATGTGATTGGCATTAAGTCAGAGAGGACTAAGTAGCTAAATTAAAAACATTGAGGTCATTGAGATTTCCATTCAAGCAGGGGACCGGGAACAATCCGGTAATTTCAAAATCGGGATCAATCTATCTCCAGAAACAAATGAATCGTTGCGAGCGAAAGTGGTACCTAAGCCATTTTTATCAAGATGGATTTTTTTTTTCATAAACGACATTAGAATCAGTGCTATCAAATGTCATTTTCAATGAAAGATCTCAAGCGATATTTACAGATACAGATATTTTTCTTCAAAATCTCATCGATTTTTTTTGTCATGACAGAACGTGACAGTGTTGTGATCATCGTAATTTAATGCCAATAAAGTTACTTGTTCCGAGGAAATCTTAATAATATATTCACTCTACCGATTACATACGGTTGTTTGCTTACATTCATCTAAATCAGTTAGAAATGTTGATGTCAAAACCGCATAAGAATTGTTCTCATGAGTGCTTGATCATTGAAAAATGACAAGAAAGCTAATGATAGGTAGTTTCGTCTCGTGATAGTGAGAAGACCGGTTTTCTCATCGTCACATGACGGCCGTGATATTTACCAGCTCTGATCAGAATGCAAATGTAATGGCAAAAATGGTAATTTGAACACATGTTATTAACAATTTAATTATTGGTCAAAATCACCATTGGTTGCGAGGTAAAGTGGTACATGTCCATTTAGAATTTGAGTTAATTGGTTCTAACATGAAATATATCGTGATCCAGGTCATATAGAATTCTATATGACCTGGATCACGATATATTTCATGTTAGAACGTAGTAACCTTAAGGTCACTATCTTCGCAAATGTTATTCATTAGATCAAGACCTGCCGGATGTTGGGCAGATTGGTTCAGAATTTTCTCACTACGTGGCGTTAGTGTGCATTTTAATTTCTTGTATAAGCTGTGTCTCGAGATCCTGGCCATCTAGGAAGTTGGCGTCTTCGTCAAAGATGTTATAGAAGCCAACCCGAATAAAAATTTACCATACAAAAACAATAGAACCTATTGTTACAATACAATAATACCTATTGTCAAAAACAATAAAAATACAACAGAACTTATTGTTATGCACAATATAATCTATTGTTATTGAGACATTTACTATGGAAAAGGGGGGTTGTTAGTTACCGAAGCCATAAAAAAATCAATTTTTTCTCGAACAAATTTGATCTCATTACAATAAATTTTATGGTTTTTTTATTGTGCCAAATTTTGGTTTCATAGAATTTGTTGTAAACCTATTGTGGTGACTATTTGATTATTTGACCAATGCAATAGAATTACAATAATAATAATAGTCAACAATAGAATCTATTGTATTTTATTGATATTTTATTGTAATTTAATGATTATTTTTATCCGGAAAGACTTTTCGATGAACAGATCTGCTGTCTTCTAGCATGTTATTCAGGTGTCTACACTAATAAAACTCCACACATTTTTATTGGCGAATTTCCATGTAAAATTCCACATGATTTTCATGTGACCACACATAAACAGAATCCACATAGAAGAACATATGAAATTTATGAGTCAAATGAATACTATTTGTGGTTACACATGGCTTTTATGTGTACACATATTAAGTATGTGTCCGACACATAGATATTATTTGTTGATCACATTGCAAAAATTCATGTG